AATATAAATAATAAATATAATATATATATATATATATATATTATATATATATATATATAGATATATAGATATATATATATATATACATATATATATATAGTATCCACTAACAAAATCCTCACTAACTAGTTGTATGCCCATCTTATGACCCGCTAATCAGTCCATACCTACCGCATAAATGGGCAGATGGTGTACAATGAGCAAATCTATACAATATAGCGGTGGTGGGTAGGTAGGACGAGAGAGGGAACAGAAGTGCAATAAACTCACACCAACTTATCAGTACATATACAGCCCACGCATTGGTCTGAAATCCATTAAGTAGTCCAAAACACACTAAACAGGTGCACACAGCCCACTCCTGACCTACTACCAATCAGTCACACACCGTTATAACCCACACATTAGTCTGAAACCCATTAAGTTGTCCAAAACACACCAAACAGGCGGACACAGCCCACTCCTAACCTACTACCAGTCAGTCAGACACCGTTACAACGCACACATTAGTCTGAGACCCATTAAGTAGTCCAAAACACACTGAACAGGTACACACAGCCCACTCCTAACCTACTACCAGTCAGTCAGACACCGTTATAACACACACATTAGTCTGAAACCCATTAAGTAGTCCAAAACACACTAAACAGGTGCACACAGTCCACTCCTAACCTACTACCAGCCAGTCACACACCGTTATAACACACACATTAGTCTGAAACCCATTAAGTAGTCCAAAACACACCAAACAGGTGCACACAGCCCACTCCTAAGTCACTCACCTGCGGCGTCGTTGTGCTGGTGCCCTCGGATGACTCCGTGCAATATAGCGGTGGTAGGTGTAGACGACAGACGGAACAGCGAATGCAATAGACTCACATCGAATGCGATGCCTCTCCCAGGCACGTACATGAAGGGGGGGCGTGCTTGGTGGGTGCCCTTGACTAAGAGATCGCTCCAGCACACGCCCAGAGTCAGGGGCTGTGGGTGGGTGGGTGAGAACGGATACAGTTTAACGTGTATTTGTAGGCAGTATGTGTGTAATGGATATATACCTATGAGCAGATGTGTGTGTAATTGATATACATCTGTGAGCAGATGCGTGTGTAATTCATATGTATCTACAAGCAGGATGTATCTGAGATTAGTTGATCTATCACTACAACACAAGGCATACCCTTGACGCACTTATTTATACACTTAGATACATACACACTTAATCTTAATATAAATATCAGTACCTTAAAAGACATACCTTTAACGCATTTATATACACTTATATACACACATATACACTTATAAACACATCGATACACACTTATCATATGAACACAAATATAGTCTATTACCACAACGCAGGCATACCCTTGACGCACTTACATATACACTTAAATACATACACACTTCATCTTATTATATACACTCATATACACTTATAAACACATATCGATACACACTTCATCTTATTATATACCCTCATATACACTTATAAACACATATCGATACACACTTCATCTTATTTTATACACTCATATACACTTATAAACACGTATCGTACACACTTATCATACGAACATGAACATAGTTGTATTACTATTTCGCGGGCATACCCTTGACGGACTTTCGGGTGTGAACGACCCAGTGAACTGCTTCAGTAGCTCTGGATCCTGCTTGAGCATTCTCATGATATATGCGAACCCTTTGGGATTCTCTGTCTGGTATGAAGGCATGTTTATGATGGAGACATGGTTAATATTAGGGTATGAAAATAGGGACATCATAAATAATATTGTATGAAAACAAAGACATTATTAATAATATTGAATAAAAATAAGGAAATTATTAATACTACGGCATGGAAATAGGAACATTATTAAAAATACTATATAAAAATAAGAACATCACAATAATAGTGTATACAAATAGGGACATCAATATAAATTGTGTATATAAAGCCGGACACCATTGATACTAGTGTATGTGAATTCCTGTTCATGATATGGACATCAATAATGATAATGTTTATACACATCCACATATATATAAACCACAAAACCCCCACCCTTCTTACAGTTATCCACATACATACGCCCCACCATCCCCATCCTCCACCCACAGCCACACACCTAGATTTTAATATACACATCCACATATATAAACCACAATTTTAATATACACATCCACATATATAAACCACAATTTTAATATACACATCCACATATATACAAACCACAATTTTAATATACACATCCACA